TGGTGAAAGTTGTTGTACACTTGAAGTAGTCAGCGGGCCAATGTGTTTGATTGCCCCAAGTGGTCAGTTGAGATTATGGTCACAAGACACTTATCACACACGCGCACACACATTTATCTGCTTATATATATATATATATATATATATATATATATATATATATTCAGATGTAATTTGATATGTAGCGGATTACTAAACTATTAAAGGCCTAGATTAACTCAGAAATCTCTGTAGTAGAGCTCACACCAGCTATCTCTCTAAAGCAACTATTTTACCTCAAGAGGAAGAAGAAGTACACGTATTACAAAGAACACGTCTATTCACTAAGAATGTGAAATGAAAAGTGAACCCAGATGAAGCGAAGTTATACTAAGGTAGGCTGCTTAGTTTTAAACACACAATGCCTTCTGATTGGTCACTCGTTGTCCGATTGACTGCGCAGAAAATTATTAGTCGCTTTTCCTTGCAACGGCGCGCGTTTATGCGATAACGTTTCCCACAAATGTAACATATTACTGATTGCGAGACCTCTGGTCAGCTTCCATAATTACATGACGATAAATTCGAAAAGGATCACGTACAGCCAAACCTGATGTGATATTGTGGTCATCGTCATCGTCAATATCACCGTTGTCGTCAACGTCGTGGTCACTGTCGACGTCACTGTCGACATCCCCCCTATAAAAACCATTGCCTTGATTCAACCTCCGTAGTTCTAGCTTTTCCTAAAATGTAATGCCATTTAAAGTGAGCATCTCAACAAACCTCTTCCACAACTGCACCATCAATTTCGTGTAGTATTTTGATTGAGTCAAATGGTAAACGGTCAAGAGGACAGGTTCGTTTAGTTTCAGACCACTTCTTGATGCAATCGTAGCAGAAGACGTGTTTACATCCACCTAGCATTCCGATTGAGGCTTTCATTTCCACCAGACATGGGGCACTGAGCTGAAGCCGCCATGATCATGAACTATAAGACAAATGTGGCGGCAGGTTTCATTACACTTAAACAAATAAAAGCTATACACAGTAACAACTATTCATTTGAGCAATATAATTTCAACACAAACCGTCATCCAAACAGCTATCATAATTGACTATTCCGATTAATTTTCAATATCATTTTTTTGTTAATATTATAATTATTTCTCATCATACAAATTTTCTCAACTCAGGACCACTTTATAGTAAGATTGAAAGCATTAGAATAAAGGTTCTCTTTCTTCGCTCAGTTTAAAAATTGAAATCATGCTAAGGTAATTATCTCACTAATGTAAATAAATAAATGAGACTAGTTTGTGCTAGATAGACCTTTCCATCTCTTTATGTTTGCAAAGCCAGTTATTTTCGCCCTGTCTCATTGGTCACACATGCCTAGATTACTCCGTTCCCATTCAACTCACACACAAAATTCTCAGTAGAAGATGAGCATCCATTCACTCACTCCATTTAGAAACTTAAGACCTATTTACACTTGAACGGTAGTACCAGTTTGAAGAGTGACTCTCTCTATCCTTAGTCAAACAATTGCTTATTAAGCACAGCAAATGCTTCATTTTTACGATAGTATTCATATAAAAATGA